TTCATTATTTGTTGTTGCCTTTAAATCTACTTCGTGTTTTTCATTTTTTGCAAGTGGCGATGGGGGTGCTTCTGGAGCTTCCCCTTTTTCCCTTGACATTTTTGCTGCCAATCCGTCTGCTGGATTTTTGCCTCCTTGTGGCTGGTCGGAATGATCCTCAGGAAGGACTCTTTCTTTTCCTGGTATCGCAGTTAAATCTTCTGGTGAGTTTCCATTTTGTGCTGTTGACGTTACACCTGTTGATGCTGGTGGAGTTTCTTCAGCTGCTAGCGGAGCCGTTTCTCCTTCATCTTCTGACATCGATTTTAATTGTGATATCTTTTCATCTTCCTTTGGAATTACAGTATTTTCTGTTTGTTCTGCAACCACTTTTTCTTCTTTACTTTTTTCTTTTTCTCTTTCTTCCTCCTTTCTGTCAGGGTTTGTTGGTGGTGTTACGACAACTCCATTCAGCTGCTTAGGATCCCTTCCATCTCCTACACCCAACGATTTAATTACGGTGTCGGACTCTGGCGGGAATGGAACTTCTGTTTCCCCTTGACCTCCTCTACCGTCTGGATCTCCAGATACATGCTGTGAACCCCCGGATCCTTCTACACCTTGCATTTCGGCGCCACCATCGCACATGACCGCAGCGGCACCGCACCACAGCACGCAGAGGGCACACACCAGCAGCACACGGCCAGCCATCATCGCCATCACTCCTGTCACTTGCGTGCAGCCTTCACTACAAACTAACAACACGTCAACGCAGAGTCAAAGGAGAGAGACAAGTCACACAGCCACGCACCGTCCCATCCAGCAATGAGAGTCACGCACCACCACAACAATGAGGTGGGCGCGGTTAACAACAATAATAATAGGAGAGGAGCGCTCCTCGCCGTGCACCGTTCCTCACACTCCCACAGTCACTGTTGCTGTTATTCCCTCTCCTCAGGCCCTCACAGGCACGCCACGCTCACTTCAACACGAGCCCCTCCAGCACACGCAGTCCGTCATGCGCTTCCGCTGCGCCGCAACGTACGCCACCACCACCTCCCTCAGTCAAACAGCTCCGTGTCCTCCACGTCCCTCACAATCGCCGGCATGCCACGGCCGTGCAACACACACAGCACCACAACGTCGTGCCGCCTCTCCTCCACAATCATGAGCGCAACGCACAACGCGTACTGGCGCACATGCTCCATGCGCTGCAACCACACGCGGATCAGGTTGGCCGTCATGCGCTGCAGCCTGTCGTCCTAATTCTGCTTGTAGCGGCAACACAACGTCGTGTAGCCGGCGGCGTCGCAGTGCCGGAAGAAGTACGGCGCAGCAACCGTGCGGGTGTCCGTGTGGCTGTACTCGCACCCCAACGCTTCCAGCAACAAGAGGCTCGGTGGCGGCTCTTCCGGCGGCTTCGTCTCCTCCCTCGGCGCCCTGTCTTCCTCCTCCTCCGCTGCACAAAAACCGCTGCCGTAGACCACGCTCCCGACTTATTCACTCCCACACAGAGAGAAAATAAAGTGTGTGTGGATGTGTGCCGAGAGCACAGCGACTGTCATCATAAGAGGAGGCCATCGTGGCACCGTCCGCCACGCGTCAGCACACAAAGAGCAACGCACGCACCCGGCAGAGTAAATACATAGGGGAGAGAAGAATGACCCCAAGAGCAGGCAGCGCCTTCACGCATGGCGGGCATCGTGCAGCCGCCCCAGCCGGCATCCAACCAAATGAAAAGGAGGCGTCCCACACGCATCCATACAACGGCCCCGTGATCCCACCGTAGGCAGACGCGCGGCGACCTCGCCATTTCAGCACGGGATACGCAATTCGACGCCCCGCCGTCGCCAAGAGCATTCCTGCAGAGCACTGTGCAAATGCTTGTGTGTGTGTGTGCTGAGAAAAAAGAAAAGGAAACACATCAGCACAGCAAGAGGCACAGCTGGACGGCAGCGATACATGCGGTACGGCCAGACCTCAACAACCACGCACGGTGGCAGCACACACCATCCACAAAAAAACAAAACAAAAAAAAACACGGCGGCAGGGCGTGGCTGTGTGTGTGGCGCTGCGGGTGTCTGCCCGCCCTGGCCGCAAGAAAACAAAACAAGAGGGAAGAAATGTGTGCTCCGCCCCACAGGCCCTCGCCGCACGCCCACACGTCACGGCTCCCTCAGCGCGCCGTTCGTCGCGGCCCCTCCTCATGCGTGCAGCAGGCGAGGCGCACAGGGCCGTCGTCATGAGCGTGTCGGTGGTGTGCGAGTGGAGCAGTTGGGCGGAAACACACGGCACCCCTCACAGGAAGAGTGCAGCAACAAACAATTAAAGAGGGAAGAGTAGAAAAGAAAAAAACGTCCATAGTGATTGCCCCAAAAGCAAAAAAAAAAAGAGGGATGAGGGGAGTGAGAGATAAAAAAAGATGATATTTTTTAAAAATAAAAAAGCATAAAAAAAAAAAAAAAACAAAGAAGGCTTCAAGAATTATAAATTACGAACAGCGAAAAAAAAGAAATTTAGTTTAGAAAATAATTTAGTTCTTTGAAGTGAATTTTTGCAGCGGAGGTCGCAATTGTTTTCATGCAGCAGCCAGTCACTCCTCACAGAGCCGCAAACCCCCACAGTCCAAACAGAAGCAGCAGCGATGGCGGCAGTACGCTCTCACGCACAGTGCCAGCATCACCCGTTGTTTCTCCAACTGCATGGGAGTTCGAATCCACGGTAAAGTGCTCAGTGTTGGCAGATTCCACCACCGTTGCATTTTGCCCTGCATTACTTTCTTGTTGAGGCTGCTGCAAGGTCGCTTGAGCCACTGGAGCTTCAGAAGTTTTGCCTGCAATGGACGCTTCTGCATGAGATTCTTCTGCGGTGGACGCTGCTGCACGTGGTTCCTCTTCGTGGGGTTCCTCTGCAGTGGACGCTTGTGCTTTAATTTCCTCTCGAGGCTGCTGCAATGCCGCTTGCACCCGTGGAGAAGGCATTTCTGTGTGAGGTTGGCCTGGGGAAGACGCTTCTGCATGAGTTTCTTCTGCAGGAGGCAACGCCGGAGCAGCCACAGACTCTTCTACTTGCTCCTCTTGCTCTTCTTTGTCATCCTCCAACACACTCGGAATTACAAGACTGCTGCCGTTGGCGGCAATGGTGCAGACCTCAACGTACTTCGGGCACTTGATCTTTCCGTCTTGCTGAAAATCTTCCAACGTCACTGGGATTTCAGTGCCCTCAGGGCATTCATGCCAATCATCGGTGCTGCCGAGGTACTTCACCTTCACTGTGCCCTCTGCACACGACACCTGCGCGCACACTCCCTTGACGTTTTTATGTTTACCGCCATCATTTTTCGACTGTAATTCCGCATCCAGGCACCACGAGTCACCGCCAGTCAGCGACCCAGGGAGAGAAGTCACACCCTTGTCCGAGCACGTATTGTACTTTATCCCAGACGCGTCGCGAAAGTACGAAGAAACAACAGGGCAAAGGTCCTTTTCCGCCAGACTCCCCCTTTCTTCAACGATGGTTGCGGTGCACGTCCCGACGTAACGGCGGTCGGAGGAGCAGCGAAGCGTCTCTTTGTCGGAGTCATTGCAGAACATGTGGGGATACTTGCCGGCAAGATTCTCGGTTGCATTGCACTTCTTCTCCAGGAAGTCGCAGCTACTGCCGTTGCCCCAGCTCATCGGCTCCGCCATGCTCCAGTTCACGCTGTAGTATCCCATATCCGCAAACACCGCCATCGTCAGCGCCGTGTAGTAGCCGGCACCGACTGTGGGAGCCATCAGCTCGTCCCGCGCGTGGCGCTCCTTCCAGTGAGGGATCGCCTTTTCCCGAGTGCCACCTTCGTCCTCCAGCTCCATCCCCTCGAGAGAGTTACAACCAAAGTGCGCTTTCGCCTTCGCCTGAACGTGATTCCCTGCCACCATCTTGCGGCCCTTTCCACGCACAATGTTAGCTGATTTCTTCAATATGCTCTTTTCCTCCATACTCTCTTTACTAAACCCAAGTGCGTGCGCAATTTCGTGTGCGGCAACGCGAACGCTCCACGCCGTGTCAGTCATGTACTTTGGATCAAAGTTGATGGCGCCAATGGAGGGGCGAAGATCTTCCCATTTGTTACACGTTGCCGCCCACACATCCCTGCTATTCGTGCCTGATGGCCCGGCAAAAGCGTAGATGACAAAGTCAGCAGCCACACCGTATTTCATGTGCTCAGTAGGAGCCTTAAAGTGTTTGCACGCTTCATTCAAATTACTCGGCACGGTTATGTTCCTTCCAGTGGGTTTCACAAGTAGTCGCTCAGCGTGCAGTTTGACAGCACCGGGAAGAATCTTCTCAGTGTACAATTTCTTCTTTTCTTCCGTCAAGACACGTTCTTCTGTACAAGTTATCCGCTCCCCCAAGAGGCTGTCGCACTCATCTCCAACCTTTTCGCAGTACGTCTTCTTCCCTCTCGTGCTCTTCAGTCCATCCGTGAACACCCCGATGCGGATCGGCTCCCAGCCACTGTTGTCATCCTGTGTGGCGACGGTGTACGCCTGCATCGCGCCCTGTCCCTTGCGCGGCACCTCGCGCACAACCACAGTCGAAAGCGGGCCGCTCCTCATCATCTCGTCAAATCCACAGCGGTATTGTGTGGCGGGTGCAGCGGCAATAAACGCAGTGGCGCAGTACATCAGCAGCAAAACCAACAATGGGAGTGGCGGCGTGGCATGGCGTGGCTGGCGCATGGCCTGAGGAATATGCATATCTTTTATTCGTGTGAGTAGCAGCAGTGCAGCCTGGCTGTGGGGGAAGAGATAGAAAGAACAAAGAGGGAGAAGAAAAAGGAAGTGGTTTAGTGCCAGTAATGCGTCAAAATGCGGCACATGCAGCGGAGTAACAGGACACCACAGAGACAGCCATGCACACCGCTTGCGCACCAAACCCATCAAAGGGACAAACCTTCTATCCGTCGTTGACTGAGCGTCCATCGCCGTCGCACGCATTCCTTATAGGCCGCAACGCTCCCTACAAGCGGAGTGTTTCGTCTGCTCTCCTCGCGGCGTGGCAACAATTGTGTGACCGGCCACTTAACATCCGCCCAATGCGC